CAGAGACAGACAGAGACAGACAGAGACAGGCAGACAGACAGACAGACAGACAGACAGACAGACAGACAGACAGACAGACAGACAGACAGACAGACAGACAGACAGACAGACAGACAGAGACAGACCTACAGACATACAGACCTACATACATACATACATACATACGTACGTACGTACATACATACATACTCGCATGCATACATGCAACCATGATACACGCTCGAAGACCCAAGCTCAAGTTGTCCGTGAGCCTCGTTTTCTCAAACCATTGGGGTCATGCGACAGAAACAACATCAAGACTCACCTTACCGGTCATACTAATATTCGGAATATCATGAAAGTCTTGAAGGGCGTATAGCTTCGGGTAGAATCTTCAGGGGTGTCAGAATAGACTGTTATGGTGTTTAGGTTGAGAAGCTTTGAGATCTCTCATGATGGTCTTAAGTTTAAAGCTGACTTTTTGATACTGTCGGAGAGCTTGTGATTATCCGTATCGGACAATTCTCTAAGTGCGCGGGTCGAATCTGGCGTGCGCCATGGACTGCCTGGCCGCAGCTTGCACATGCTACCCGCTGAGCTTCCGGTCTTGCGGGAGACACATCCAGGATCTTCTTTGAAGTGATCCGCGTTTAGGGTTTAGGGTTTAGGGATCCCCCTAACTTTACACCCCAAACCCGTAAATCCTTGGCTCCGAGGGCTTTGCCAGTCCTGCTCACCGTGCTGCGCGCCAGCGAGGCCAGACCAAGCGGGGGCTCAAAGCGGCTCGCAGGGCTTTGCATCACTCACACCCTAAGCCCTAAACCCCTGAACCTGAAACCCTTAACCCCTTAAACCCTAAGCCCTAAAGCCCTAACCTCAAGCGATCAGGCCTACGATGAGGAGTGGGGCGAATTCAAGGCTTGATATGCGTGTGCGAAACTTTGCAAAAACATTGCAGGGTTTATAGTTTAGGGTTAGGATTTAGGGTTTGGGGTTTAGGGTGTAGGGTCTAGGGTTTAGGGGCTGGAAGATAGGGTTTTGGGGTGAATTGTAGTACGGGGACTATCAGAATATACCGAAAGGAGTCGTATTTCCAGTTGTTCAGGCTTCTGTCTTCCACGGGCAGCCAACAATCCCCTAAACCATAAACCGCAAAACGGACCACGACCCATCCAACGACTAATCGCATCAATCCTCAGCTCCTGCCTGAAAGGAGTCCCTCCACACCTCCGCTCTAGGGTTGAGAGATGTTTCGGGTTCAGGAATTCCTTTCCCAGCCGAAGACCCCCCCCCTGAAACCCTTATAAGGGTTTGAGGTTCAAGGTTTAGGATAAGACCCGAAACCGTCCGTTCCGAAGGGGGCGAAGGGAGCGCCAATCGCAGTCGTGAACAGCCAGGCAAGTCTCGAGCTTTTAGGGTGGAAGGTTTCAGCCTAGACACTTCATTGTCAACACAGCAGCTGCCATTTTTTCGAAGGTCAGGAACCAAAGTTCTGCTAGTATTAATCACAGAAGTGCTTCATTTCAGGGTTCCTATAATGCGGATCCTACTTTGTCGGCTCGGTACGTGGGGGCCTTCATTTTCCCATATGAATCGAGTGTCGAAAACAAGTGGGATCCTCGGAAGCGTCAAGCCCTGAATCGTACGAGCGTTTTTCTTTGTTGGCGCAAATTGCTGGATGGTCAAGTCGCTATTCCAAGGGCCACAACATTCAGCATCAGAATCCTTACCATCATCCTGACAAAAAAGGAATGGGGGTCTCTTTCCCTTCGGGTTTACATTGTTAGCGACGTCTACATAAGCGTAAGATTCCCGATTGACGTAAACGCAGATCTCCGAGCCGCTTGCCTCCCAGAAGGGACTGGCGCTTTCGGGTTTCGGATTCGGGCTTGGCACGCTTTAGGGTTTCGGATTTGGGATTGGGGTTTTGGGTTGCACACATGGCAAGACTTGAGTAGTTGAAGCTGTCAGTTTAGCATTGTTTGCACTGTTATCCTTCTGGCTGTTTAACAACCCTGATACTGTTGTTGCCAGAGCGAGTGTGATTGCCTCACTGTCGTGACGCTTCGTGCTGTCATGCTTATAGGCTTTCATAGGGCCCTGAGCCCTAACTTCTAGAGCCTAAACCATCACTTGCACTCTAACTCGTAGCGAGGCGGCAAAGTGCCTTCAAAACTAAACACATTACTGGCATGGTCATTGTATGTGGCATCGCCGTCGGTTTTTTTCGCTGGAGACCCGATAGGTGTGACCCCAACACATAACCCCGAAGCCCCTAACCTTGTAGCTAAACAGCCAAACCCTCAAACAAGACCTTTTTGGGTTCAAGCTTTGGCGCTTCTTAGAACTAGATTGTGTTTTCTGTTGATGGGGGCGGGGTGTGTTGAAACTTTGTTCGGAGTCTGCTTTGTTCTGGGAAGCTGGAACTGGGTTTTAGTCTTTTGGTGCCATGCCCGTGCGCAAGGAAATCCTGCCATGCCGGGGAAGGCAACGCAAATGACGACAATCTTTTTTCGCAGTAACTAGGCTGCAAATAACGGCCTTTGGTCAGCTTAAGGCAGAACAGGATGATGATTACACTTATTGTGTTTCTAAGTTGTCAGTTCTGAGAAAATTAAATAGCTGTGATCATAGGATTGAGGGTTTATCGAATCGAATCCTGAACATTGACCTGTTGCATCTCCTTTCATTTTTCGTTGTCTTCGTCTTCACCTTAAAGCCGAAACCCCAAGCCTGAAACCATTAAGCCTTTCTGCTCTTAGACGCTTAAGCGCTTAAACCTAGACGCTTAAGCCCTAAACCCTGAGACTCCAAACCTAAATGTGTACTTGTGGTAATTTGGGAGGATGACCCCCGATTCCCGGCCCCAAACCCAAACTCGAGCTGACACCCTTGAATCCCAACCCTGACAAGTTGGATCAATTCTAGAAAAAGATTTCACGTTTCCCGAAAAGGCCGACGCTACGGTCAGGCAAGCATAGGGCCCCAAACCCGAAGCCCAAACAAGTCTTCAACATCCTGAGGCCATAGGCATAGTTTCACAAGCCCTCGAAAAGCTGGAGCCCCAAGAATGCTTCGAGCACGAATGTACCTGGTGACATGATCAGCTCAGTCGTTCATTCTCGAGAGGCTGCGTCCCGATGCCGTATTCCCACTGCTCCTTCAACACCAGAAACCCTGACTTGAAGTCTAAATCCTACACTCTTTGATCCCTAAACCCTAAACCCTGAAGCCTAAATCCCTAAAGCTAGCTGGATTCGCAGGGCATGGTTTTGCGGAGCCTGACCCTAAGTAGACTCCAGGCAACGTTGGAGCCACAAAGTCATCCTCATGCCCTTTAGGTTTAGGGTTTGAGGTTTAGGTGTCTGGGATGCCGGATTTAATCATCCTTGATCCACGCTCCAAGATCTATGGGTGGTAATTTGGGATTGTAAGTACGTGGCGTAATCAGGGCTGTCCCACTAGCTGCAGCCTTGCTTATGACCTACTTGCTCAGTCACCTGGGCCTGTAAATATCCCCAAACCCTAAACCCCCAAACTCGACTAGCGCTAAACAAACATAGGATATACACTCCATCAAAGCCGTCGAGACTCTAGAGAAATCTTCAATCAAGCCTTGAATCCATCAGCCCCTGGTTTGTAAAACTTCTTTCTGGAGGCCTGGGACAAAGAGCCCTGCCTCGGAGGAGACTTACATGGGCTGCGAGGCCTGGGTCTGAGGGTTTAGGGTTCTGGAGTTCTCGCGTGGCCCGGACAAGTAAGCGCAGAATCTGGCGCCTGCAGCCCC